ATTGTAGATTTGGGTCTCAATTGAGTCACCATATTTTCCCAGTCACGTATGGCTTCTTAATTTGATCCGAGGAAATTTACAAAAAAAATGCGGTGACATTGATCCCTGGGGGTACTTGCTTATATGGTCTGGAGAGGATGTGCCGCTGGACGGGGTATGGCTTTTGACCCATTCTCTGTCCTAAACGGGGTAAATAATTTCGTGTGAGTCTGTACTAAACAAGGTATAAAATTTTGCTGTGAATTTGTCAACATGATATTGGCTGCACGATTGATTTGATTTGCTACATAAATTTTGTTTGTACAGTGTACTCTGAAGTATAGAAAAGCAAAGATATTGAATTAATTTGCTCTGGCTTGCATTTTGTCCTTTGTCCTAAACAGGGTCGTAAAATTGAGGGTGTTGCCGTATACAGGGTATGTTTTTTAAAGGAATTTTTTTGTCCTAAACGGGGTCAGGATTTCAAACCTTCAGCTGCTCCCCTAGCCTCCCAATGCGTGACGAACGAACCTCAAACGACGTCTACGGGGAGGCTACTGCTCCCCTATACCAAGAGAGATTATTCTCTCTTGTCTATACCCAAATATTGGTCGAGTACCCCCTCAAGCTCATCCAACGGGCAGTCCCCTCGGGCTTACTGGCCAACCTGTTTTTCTTACTGACTCTCCCTCCTTTATGCTCTCCCTCCGCCCTCTACGAGGAGTCGACCGTCTCTTCTAGCCCTGTAAAATTCACTTGGAAGAAATTATTTCTGGGCAAATGGCTCTTGATCTGGTCCAAATCAATCAAGTTTATGAAGAAACCGTTTGGCCTCGATCTCCTGGCTTCTCGTCGCAGAGTTCCCCTCCGACAAGAGTCAGTTTGTTGCTTCAGTTTAAAATAGTCATTTACGACCTCAAACGAGAAAGAAATGTTTTTGTTTATGTGTTTTGTTTTGTTGTCTTTGTTTTTTTTTTTTTCGACGAGCATCACCTTATGAAACTAAAGAAAAGGAACTAATTTTGTTCTAGCCTGGGACCAGGCTCCGCAGTTGGGGAAAAAGGTAAAAAATGGGGCCAAATAGGATAACTATCGGCGACCAAAGCGAGCCGGGCGGTATCCGATTTTTCTCTCCTTTTTCCCACAATGCGGAGCCTGGTCCCAGGCTAAATTTATTCATAATCCGCGGTTACACAGACACAAATTTGGCGACACCCGATCTTTGGCTTCTCACTCGATCACTCCTGACCCACGTTTCTCCTCTCAAGTGAATTGGAAACTTCACCCAGCCCCTCCAGACTCAAGAGAATTTGACCCTTCATTCATATTGACATTGCCTACAAGATACAATGACGGAGAGTATTTCCTGTTTTCGTGTTGGAAGCCGGCTTTCCGAAAAAACACGCTCCCAATTAGCAAAAGGACTTTGAACGAGTAGTTCTACTTATTACATAACAATTCAAAGTAGACAGACTGCAAATTACATTAGTTGCTAAAAAATAGATATCTACGTGTCGCAACTGCTTAATGTTAAGATTTTAATTTTAACGCGATGGAGCCCGACAGGGTCAAAAATTATTTCCACTGGTTCGAGTAAAACGACCACTGAAGAAAGGGGTTGGAGCATCCTCCCCCTTAAAACAAGCACTTCAAAGCAACATGTTCCAGCTTGGCTGAAAGTCAAGTAAATGTTTTGCCTCATTTCGTTTTCCACGTTAGATGTTTGAGCGCTCCAACCCTCTGTCCGTCCCAGACAGCTGGATGAATTTTACCATTTTGTTGTGTTTTTACTTATAACATGGCGGTACAGTCGGCTCTCGGTAACTCGCACCCCCCACAACGCGAACCTTCCGCTAACTCCAAGCAATTTCCATTTTCCCTCAAATAGTTTTCTATATGATTTTAGCCTCGATAAGTCGAACTCCCGATAACTCGAACTTTTTCCTATTTCCCTTGAAGGTTCGAATTATCCGGAGTCGACCTGGGAGTCTACTGTAGTTAAGTTCTTTCCATCCACACATTTCTAGTAAAGAAAGCTCCGACATGTCACCACGCTTAAGTGACACGTCATTTGACAAGTGTAAGTGGGATGTTAGTTCCCTCGCACGTGCACCGGCATTAGTTTACGTGCAAGCTCTCTGGGTGGGGACCCCCCTGGTGTAGGGGAAGAAAAAAATTGGAAGATCTTGCAGCCCCCTCCTCCGACCCAAGACTAAGAGCCCCACTAGATCCCCTCACCCCCGCCGCGCCTCCCACAAAAAATAAATAAATAAATAAATAACAGCAACAACAAAACTAACAACTTTCAGACATCAAACGGACAAAGCTTGGAGATCAAAAGTGTAACAAACAAAGTCAGATCAAATTACTTTTAAAGAAAAATAGAGTATGATGGCACGTAATATTTGCGGGTTCCATTTTTAAATGCGATTTTTGCGGTTTTTCTTGCGATCCGCAAAATAAAAATTACCGCAAACATTTTTCCCGCAAAAATTTTCTTCAGAGTAAATATTCGCTACACAAAAATATAGTGCTAAGAAATCGGGTCTGTTCAATCACAACTTGTCTCTTTCATTCAGAAACAACGAAATACTGGCTCAATAATGCTTGAAAATATGTTTTTCTATTGGACGTACTCAATAAAAATGAAAATAATACGATGCTGGGCACTGGGTACTTTCTGAAAATCGCAAAAATTAGTTCCTGCGAAACACCAAAAATCGCCAATCCGCAAAAATAAACTCCCGCAAAAAAATTCGTGCCACCGTATATAGCAGGCTTAAAATCAAGATTGACAAAAATCCTATCAATTAAATAAAAATATACTGAAAATCCTACGTAAAACCCCTCTCTCAAATTAGCCTCCCTCTCGAATGAGCCCGTCCTTCTTCCTTTTCAGAGAAAGAAAGTTTAACAAATTAAAGTTCCCCATCTCTTTTAAGCTCCCCCTTCCCTCCCCCTTTACCTCATATGCGGTGACAGATCCGAGTTTTAATATTCTCCTCTACCGCGTTCTGATTGCAAAAACATGATCAAGAGTATCATCTCCCCTACCATTAAACAGGATACCTTTTTAACCTCCATCCACGTGGTGTGCATGGAAAAATTTTCATCAGAGTAATCATGGTAATTTATACTTCCGTTAAGATTCTACAGTAACCTTTGTCCTGTTTCCCATTACCTCTCAGTAAATAACTAAAGTCAATTTTTAAATTGTTACAGATTATCAAAATGTGCTATGACTTGGACTCGATCCGGGGCGAAATCCTGTGATGCAATTAGTACCATTTGTCCTTTAGTAGTCTTCAACAAGAAATTTGGAATTTCTCGTGAATTTCTCCACGATTTTTCTTTGTAAGCCACTTGAAGGGTCGATTGAATTTTCTCTAAGTCAATGTCTCATGTAATCGGAAGGGGGGGGGGAGTACTCCCTGCAATGGCATGCGAGGAGCCTCCAGAAAGAGGTGCCTTTTAGGCTTCTGATCCATGAAAGGGGAGCAATTTCATTATTTGGAGTATATATGGGTGTGACTAAGAGCCCAGGGGGGTTCTCAGGATTTCAAGTGACGGTGATGATCGAAAGATTTTTTGGGGTTTGAAATTTTCGATTCCGGGATTTTTTTGGGTACGAAAATTTGGCAAGTATTTTTTGGGGTAGCTTGATTTGAGTAGAGATTTTTTGGGGGTATCAAAAAGAATCGGTTGTGCCCTGGCTGCGTAGTTCTGCGAATAAAGTACAAAAAAACGTGTTTTGCTGTTGTTTAAATTTCCAATGTTTTTCTTTGTGTTATAGCATTACCGCTTTCTGGAACTTTTAAGGGCCACAAAATCGGCGTGGGATTTTTTTGGGTTTTTCTGGAAGCCCTAGGGATTTTTTTGGGGCTTGACTTTTGGCTCCATTCGATCATCCCCGTCACTTGAAATCCCGAGTACCCCCCCCCCCTGGGACCTAAGAGACAAGAAAACTCAATGATTTAGTGATTTACTCAGATTATAATGTCGGTGAATTTACAGCAGTTTATACTGAGGGATGCATCGCTCTAAACTAGGCTCGTGAGGGAGTAAAATTTGTCAGTAGAAGTTATACGAAGGGATCCTTTTTCTGTCAAAAATGGTGTATAAAAAAATAAGGGATTGGACCTCGAAGCGGAGCCTCCCGGTATAAAACTTCGTTTAGTACCCTCCGGGGTCTAAAGCTGATTTGTTTATTCTACGGATCGTTTAGTGTTTTCGATCGAGTGGTCTAACTTGTCAAGCATCGCATAACATGACCCATAAAACAACAAGGGATTCTTGAGAAAGAGCGCTTTTTGAATGGATCATGGCCAGTTCGCAGACCTTTTATTTTCTCTTTAGAAATCTTCGAGCGTGCGTATGAAAATAATAAAGCGCTGACGATTTGTTGGCCCCTCGCCCAAGAAGAGGTGGGGTAAAAGAAAGAACGTCTGAAGCCGGGATAAATTATGAAATGGCACGGACTTGAGGACGGTATTCCGCCATTAGTTTCGGCTTAAGCAATCCGTCGAGTGTTCTGATCGACTCAACTGTTCGCCCTTGCGAAAGCTACATTGAAGCGTGTTCCTTTTAATTGCCGGAGTTACGTGGCCACTGCGTCTCGCAAGCAAAGGGCAGGCATTTCATCCGGGTCAAATCCGGCTTAGACTATTTGAAAGCCACACGTGGCGTTCATTTGATAAAAACGACAAAAAACGTCTGTAGTTCTTTTTGTGAAAATTTCCATAGCTTGGTAAAATTGAAGGAAAGTGAAGGAAAACGTGCTCCCGCGTAATCGGACCATCTACGACGAGCTGGTCCAGAAAACCGCTTTTTCTCTCATGCCACTTGGCTATCCAATTTCTTGTTTGACCTGTTTGAATTCAGGTTTTGCAAAACAGGCACGGTAACAGAAAAAATTATTTAAGGTGTTCCTTTCGACTCTGATCAGAGGCTGCAAAGAGACAACAACCCTCTGCGGATTCTGTCGAAAGTGAACGCCGGTAAAACTCGTATTTTACGCTCCAATGACGTCAACCGGAGCGATGAGTCAAAAGGCAAAGCCGACGACGTTTACCTGCTGCTTGGTGAGTTTCGCATTTTTAAGACACGTTTTGGTAACCTTTCGTTATTATATAAACCTCTTGCACCACGATTTCAACTAGGCGCACGACTTTTCCTTTGTCTGCACTGTCAGTCCTGAGGGAGAGGAGGATTCTACGGTGTAAGCCTGATTTTTCATGATTATTCCGGTTTTTGTATGCTGTGCGGATCTATATTTCCAAGGAACAAAGAGCGATAGACGTCACCCACGCAGTATCGATCGTTGCGTCGAGCGAGGAAAATCAGAAACACATTTCCATCTGCTGAGGTTTTGCTAGCATCCTTTTTCCATCTTTCTCTAACACGAAATAGAAAGCTGGGTCAACTCAGCTATTTTTTTAAAAAATAATTTGCTGTTGGAACACATACGGCAGAAGGCTTATTTATGTTAAAATACAGACATTGTTTACTTTTTAAAAAGCATTTTTATTAGCCGCAGCAAGCGGCGAAGGATTTCCATTGGACTGCACGGTAAAAAGTCCAACGGCATAATCGAGCTGAAAGGAAATGCTGCTGTTAAGAGCAAGCAAGTTGACAAGGACATTATGTCCTTGGCCACTAAGTTAATTTGCTCTCCCGGTTTCTGGTATATTTAAGAAATTATGCAAATTTTTTTGTGTTACCTCGAGTGGACAAATATAGATTTGTTACATAATACATAACAAAGATAAACATCTACTGTTGATGCGAAAAGACAAAAGTACAGAACCCGAAAATTCGCTGTATTGAAGGCGAATTTTAATTACTTTCTCGAGGTTTTCCTTGAGCCACACGGCTTTCTATTGCTAAAAACGTTTCATTTGAAATTTAATATTTTATATTTGACTGTCTATATTTACTCGACGAAGGCCGTCGCTGCCCGCAGGCTCAACGCTGAGGTATTTCATTGCACTGCAAAGAAAGATTAACTTTTATATTCATGACTAGTGTTGACACCAAACGGAAATGCGCTTCACTTTGTGTGGCTAACGCACGTAGCTAGCTGAAGTTAAGACCAAGAACTGCAGCCATATTGTTTTTAAAAAATACCCTCGGGGAAAAAGGCGAAAACGGAAAACGAAAAGTAACAGCAAAAAAAACAAAACAAAACAAAACAAATCGGGGAGCGAAGCAAGCCGAGCGATGGCCTACTCAGCTCGCCGATTCTTTTCCTTCTTTCTTTCTTTCTTTCTCTCTGTCTTTCTTTCTTTCTTTTTTTTTTGTGGCTTTTTCCCCCAGTGCAAAGGGGAGCCTCGTTGTCCCAAAGTGCCCCACCACCAAGTGTCCTTATCGTTGATTTTATTGATCGGGGCCCCGGGGGTAAATAACAAAGTTTTATACGGGGAGGCCCCTCCCCGAGGTTTAACCCCTTACCCTGTAATATACCATTTTAACAGAAAAGGTACCCCTTTCACATACCAAGTTCAGAACTTTGCATCCTTTTTTAACTGCTGTAAATGTACTTTATTTTAAATATGATAAAATCGCAAAACCAGTTAACCCTTTTATCCTTTTTAAAGACCTACCTGACAGATTTCCATTCCCTTTCATATACTTCAACTAGTGAAATCCCATTCCTACCCTTTCCTATAAACTTGAACCTTGCAAAAAGTGCCTTCGGGCGGAGCCTTCTTATATAGGGCATTATAGGGAGTGCACCCCGCCCCCGACCACCCCCCCCCCTCCCCCACCCCCTTCATCATGAGAGGAAACAGGGTTCTGTCGGTTCTGCTTTTCGATTATATTTCGGTCCAAGATTTTAGTTAAATTTCTTGTGCTTTTCCTCGTAACCTTAATTTACCCACGTTCGGCCTTTGGTCGTCTTGAAGAAGCAGAAGAGAAATTGACAAATGCGTCAACGATGCATTCTAGTGCCAGCGTAAAAGCCCTTTTTTCTAGGTAATTTCGTTGTTTTTTTTTTTGTTTGTTTCGAGGCGATCAATCAACGATTTTCCGATTTCATTAGTCATGGGCTACTGATCCACCATGGCTCCCATGTCACGATGGTCGGTTGCTAGGGCTTTTCCTCCCGCAACTTCGTAAATTCAATTTTTGGCTCACAGAGCAGTATTTTCTATTCCAAATGAAGCAAGACATTAAAACATCTTAATTAGAGAAAAATTTTCTTAAAATTTTTACCATTGTAAAGGTATTTTGACGTTTCTTGAAGTATGACGTCATAAGTGACGCCTATTTTTAGTAACAACATTAAAAACTTGCAAAGCAGTGTTCAAAACATTACAGACATTTTTGCTACACAAAAAGAATATGTATAGTGAAAACCCCACCTCAATCGGATAAAATGGCGTAAAGTTACAGCTAGTAAAAGAAATCAAATTTCCCCACATGACCATATATGGTCAAAATTAGGGGATTTTAAACGCGAAGAACAATGAATGTATTTTAACAGGATGTTGCATAAAATCAAAATTGTAGTTTTTCTACTTACTTTTTTTTTTACTTATCCACCATGTTTACGTCACGAAATACGTCATTGTGACGTCAAAATGACGTATTTCGAGACGAAAAACGTTTTAACCTAAGTAGAAAAAAAAATACAATTTTGATTTTAAGTAACTTTGTTCCTGTTCCAGCACATTCAATGTTCTCGGTTCTAAACCATGGTCATTTGGGGGAATTTCTTTAATTTCTCTTTTTATCCGATTGAGATGGGGTTTTTAGAAATCATAGAATTCTACAGAAAACGTAAAATTTTACCATGTCTCCTGAATTTTTTTGTTCGGATGACGCAACAGAATTTGGACATCATTTTTAAATTCAGAAGTCACAAACAACCGACGTGTGTGGAACAACAATTTATCAAACAGTTTAAGGGCAACAGTTCTAAAGCTCAGTTCGAAACCGGCCCCCAGCAACCGACCACCGTGTGTGGACTATTGCCAGTTTAACCCTAATCGCAACAGTTCCTAGCAGAGCCGGTTCGAAACAGCGGTAATTCTCCATCAATTCTCCTCACGTTTACACATGTCACACTGTAGAATAGCTTTAAATTCAAGAACAACGACAACAACAAAGGGCGCCCAAAACACCTGTGTATATCTACCGCGTATAATGATAGTTTTTAAATTCTCGAAACACGCGCGTTGTGCAGTTGTAACGCAACCTTACACAAGGCGCGTGGATTGCACGTGCGTTCAAAACAAAGTGTACATAAATTACGGAAGCACTCTAAAAATTATGATTTAGGCCCATGTCATTTTTAGCTAACCTGTTTCAGATGGACATATCTGTAGCCCGCATTACTTTGTATAATTTAACTTTTGTCAATTGTAATACTATAAAATATAGGGAGGTTGCTCTTTTAAAGATACTTTTTTTTTTTACCTTAATGGCGTTTAAGATTGTATGCAAACAAGAATTTGACCAATATTGAAAGAGGCGAGTCTTTTCTATCTTTAGAAACTCTTTTGTTTACTGGCATGAACTGAGGAGACTTTGCGCACAAGGGAGTTTACAACTACCTTACTAGATTCTGTTGCATTGCAGTTAGACGATGCTGAAATGGCTAAACAGAGTTGTCAAGCAGTATTGCAGTCTGCAAACAAGAAGGAAAAGGCGACACAGATTGTAGTGTTCAAAGAAACAGTGTCACCTGGGCAGGATAGTTGTTGGTCTTGGGTTGTGTGTTTTGCGGCTGTTTTTTCAAATGTGGTTATTTGTGGGTTTACCTACAGCTATGGTATCTTGTTTCCCGCTCTCCTAGACGAGTTTCAGCAGGGGAAAGCTAACACAGGTGAGGAAACAACATAGAAGAGCACCTCATATGAGAATTGGCATCCTTTCGGGAAAGGCTGCGGCCGGGGGAGGCCTGGGGAATACTCCCACGAAACTGTCAACGAGCGGGACTGATTGTTGCCCGTTTGTAAACTGAACATTTTGGTATCACTCAGCGTGTTCAAGACGAAGCAACTTTAAATTTTGCCCCTTGCATGGATCTCTTTTTGATGGGAGCGCCTTTCCCCCCCCGGGGGCTGGCATCGCGTGCTTATTTTCGAACTACTCCTGTCAAAAACGCAGTTCCTTGCTTATCTTATCACTGAATTAAAACATTTAGATTGGACTGCAAAACGGGTTTTTCAAATTAATTCGTTGCTTTAGAAAGTCGCTTGCAGTCTCTCTATCTTCTAACCTGCAGCTAGAAGAAATGGGTGATCTAAGCATATAACTTACTATAATTCCCTACGTCTTGCTTGTTAATGATCTGGCACTCAAATCTACAGGTCTCATATATTTCTCTCTAAATCTCGAGAGTGCACTACTCAGCTTACCCCCTTGAACTGAGCTTCAATATCAACACGAATGTTTTTACAGTGTTATTTATCAGTGTAATTCTTACAGCATTAGCAAAAAAGCAAGCGATATTTAAGACTTTAGAGTACAACGTCGCAACGCAGTCGTTAAAAGATGTGTAAAATGTCTTCAGTACCACCAGAAACTCAGATCTTTGACCATTATCAAGTATGTAAAATCATGATAACCTTAAATGTACTGGTAACTAACTCACCTCTCTACCTGTACTTACACATGGTGCTATTTGTTTTTCAAAATTTCACAAAATGAAATTCGGAAATTTGGTCAAAATTTGCTTTAGGCTAAATCTGGCGGTGATTGGAGAAGGTTCTCCTTTATAAGGCATTGTTGCTATTTGCCCCAATATTTACAAATTTCCAAACTGATCTAATGAATTTCTTAAAGAATGAGGTCAAATAAAAGATCAAAGCATTTTCTCTTAGGTGATCATTTTATTAATTCTCACAACCTAATCTCATAATAATGTATGAATATCGTTAGGAGAAAATTGCTGTTGGACACTATTGCGACTTAAAGGGTTAAGGGATCAGTTCCATAAAAATTAACTATAGTAGTCGGCTCCTGACCTAACAACTCACGCCCAAGTTCCCTTTACCGAACACCTAAGCGGGCAGTCATGGTCCCAATCAAAACTACTAACTGAATTCTAAACCTTCCTTTACGAGGACGCCCCTGACTCCTTAGTCGCAGGGGGCATCCTCTTTCGGAAGGTTCTACTATTGCTTCTAAGTACGTAAACTCCTCGCTCCTTATTTCCCCTTACTTCCTTCATGCTTTGGCATTGAACGCTCACGTCAGGGTCGCCTCTTCTACCTTTATCAGGGACTTTTTTGTACATTTCTCTGCCCGTTTTTGCACGACTACGACGTGAACATGCCTAATTTCGCGTTTTATGGACGACGTAAACAAGCAACGACGAAATTTTATTTCTCTTTCTGTACTTGGATATGGTGCCGGGTTCGCCTACATTTGACAAAGTAAGTGGGTAGGAATAATTGCGATACTGAAAGAACGTAAATCCAATTTTTAAGCGACGTTCTCATTGCCCTCGCGTCGCTGGATATTAAAGTCCCTATTGTAACATATTTCGGCCGCCAACTAGCCTGCGAGCGAGCTCTACATCGCCCCCGCGTCTCCTTTTGCGTGCGGCTCTCGCGTGACTTCTCGCGACTCCCCCAACAGGAGAGCTTGTTCGCATGCTAGCCACTTACGAACATTAAAGATATTTTTCCACTTTTGTTTTTCACTAGCTTGGATAGGTTCAATTGCAATGGCAGGTGTTGGACTCTATGGTCCTATCATCGGGAAGGTCTACCATCGTTTTGGTGCTCGAACTGTGGCGTTTTTGGGATCAATTATCTGTGTGATTAGCCTCATAGCGACCTCCCAAGCCCCCAACCTCTATGTCATGCTTGCCACGTATGGAGTGTTATTCGGCTTTGGTTCCTGTAGTGTATATATGATTACGTTTATGGCCGTGCCAAGGTACTTCGTTAGGTGGCGCTCTCTAAGTTTGGGACTAATAGCAATGGGGCCTGGTGGAGGACTATTTATCATGAGCCCTATTGTACAAGCTCTGTTCGAAAGGTTCGGCTGGCGAGGAACATTTTTAGCAATGGCTGGTGTCGTTTCTCTAGCATGCGTAATGGCATTTGTTTATCGACCAATCACACTGGAATCTGACAAAGTGGAACTACATAGTGACAGCAAAACGGATAATAAGTTCTGGGACTTCTCAATCGTCAAACATAAAAAGTTTATGCTTTGCGTAACTGCAGGAGTAGTTTTTTACCTGGGTCACTATACACCAACAGTACATATGGTAAGTCAAACACCCTCCCTTCACATTTAACACCTGCGTTCACATGCCTTGTTCCCCATACCCCTCTGCGTAGCTCATTGCTTCAAAACAACCTCCCGGTGTCTAGGTGTTCATGGGTCAAAATTTCGTCCGGGTTCGGATAGATTTTGTTGTTTGTCTCACGTCGGTACAAATATTGCATATCAATACCCCTCCCTTTTCCCTTTCCACTCCAGAAGAGGCCTTTGTCTAAGGAATGATTACGCAGGGGGAGGGTTCTTGGGTCAATTTTTGCTGGATATGTGTCGCTGGCCTCTCAGAGCCCTTACCCCTTTATGGTCTATTCTGTGGCTAGTTAAAGACCCCATCTTAGTCACTTTTGGGCAACTGTAATTTTCGCTATCCCAACTTAGTCACTTTCTATTTATGTATCTACTTTATCAATCCTTCAAATAGGTCACCCTCAAAAGAATAGACCCTTTTTTAAATTGAATGAAGAAAACCTTACTTTTCAGCTACAATACAAACATTCTGGTACGTTTGCTAGCTGTAAATGTGAAGAACTTTCTAACCCCAAAACTCTGAAAATGTGCGACCCCATTCTAGTAACTCTATTGAAAATGCAACCCCATTAGCGTTATAGTCAATCCATTCGTGAAAATGCGACCCCTTCGAGCGGCACATTCCCATTAGCCTCTTTTAAGGACGTAGCTTGAACCCCCCCTTTCGCAATGATTTAAGACTTAGGGTGGACGGTTCGGTATTTTTAAAAGTAAGTAGCAAACGCAAGGGCAAGTTTTTCTGCATTGCAAGATCTTATTTTAATTATTTTACATGCCATTTTAAGGAATCACTTTAGACGGATGCTGCGAATGCTATGAAATAGTAGTTATAGATTACATGTTTTGCTTTCCCACTGTAAGTCATGCAACATGACGCTAGAAAACGGGCTAAATCAATAATAATAATAATAATAATAATAATATTTCTATTCTTTGTTACTTTACAGGTTCGGTTTCTCGAAGACAGAGGATCCTCTGAAGTGAAAGCCTCGCGACTGTACATCTACAGTGGAATAGCCTCGTTGCTAGTCCGTCCCGTGATTGGTCGAGTGAATGACCTCACGTGGGTTAATCCGTGCTACATATACACCGTAGCAGCTGCTCTAGAAGGCGTGTTTACCATCCTGTTGCCTTTTGCCTCGACGCAGTTTCATTTTGTAATATATTTTGTATTCTATGGATTGGCGGACGGTACAGTGGGATGCGGCATTAATATTGCTATATTAAACGGTCTCCCGGAGAGGCTAAAGCCATTGGGATTTGGCATTTATAATTGTCTGTCATGTATCACTTCAGCTTGTGGTCCGGCTCTTGGAGGTATATATTTTTAAAATGAGTTACGTAGTTTCTAAACGTCCCACTGATTTAAAACTAATGTAGTTTCACACTTGACATACTTAAAAAATGCTGAGAAGTAGGAGTTGATTGAAAGTGGACAACGCGCGTGTACAAGAAAAGACTTAAGGCAGGGTAGATTTCACTCGAAAATTTAAGCATAGAACGTGAAAGTAAACAAAAGAGCGACATCCCTTTAAAAAAAATGAAAACTATACTGAGATCACGTGATGCGATTTTAAATTTTGAAGGCTATCTTTATAACTGTAAAATTGACCGCCAAGCAACTTAACAGTACATAATCTACTCAAAGGCAAATTACAATTATTAAAATTTGAATGACCTACATGTATGCAATGAGGATAGCCTATATTTGGTTACACTGTCTGCAACGTCTATTTTCTTTAATAGCGGTGTGTTAACAAACGCTACTTGCCGCTAGCAACATGGTCACTGTTTCAATGTTCTGGGACAAGTGTACTCTATGATGGTCGTGAAAGGCTCTAAAATTCTTTCTTTTTGTTTTGTTTTGCTTTTTTTGGACTTCCCTGATCCTCGGAGCCAAGCATGAAAGTTATTGTTTTGCATTCAAAACAATTCACCGTTTCTGATTGGCTCCAAAGTCCCAACTCACCGTTCATAACCAAGTGGCGTTTACCATATTTGAAAAATGGAAGCATTACTTGTATACCATCCTTTCGACGGTATATTTGAATTGGAAACGAGGTTGATCGATAGCATATTTGATTGGAAACGAGGCTGTTAGAGCAATAGACCATCGCCAAGCCACCAGGCTGTTTATTCACGAGTGAACTAGAACAAATGGCGTTCACTTAATCTGAACGGGAGAACTACAAGAATACGCTAAACATATCGCCCGATGGATTTCAGCTATTTTTTGAGGAGTATACATGTATCTGCAAGGAAAAACATCTGCTTTTGAAACCGTACCGAGAATTAAGCCAAAGGTTTGAAGCAAGTCTATGAGTAGGTAGTCTTGTTCAGAACTTAGAAGCATTTTAAATAATTAAAAGAATAATAAAGCAATTATCAAATTCGGCTTTCGTAGGATGTGAAGAATTATGCAGATCGATCTCGGAGGATGTTGCCTCGGTGGATAACATCCTCCTCTATTTGTATAATTCTTCACATCCTACGAAAGCCGAATTCAATAATTTCTAAACATATTTTTTCGTTTTCCTCATTTATTTGTTCTCTCTTCAGGATTGGTTGCAGATATTAGTGGATCTTACGTTCCAGTATTTCACATGGTTGGAGCCATCATGTTAGCCGGTGCTGCCTTGCTTCTTGCCGTTTCTTGCATCAAGAATCCAGACAAACTGAGAACCGAGCAGGAGACAGATTTATGGGAGATGCTTCTGGTCGTGGAGAAGTGTTCCGTTGTGTGAATTGAATTTTAAGTCAACACACCCCTTATTAAATGAAATCTATTAAATATGGGTTCCAATTTCTTAAAAGCTACGCTCCTAAAGGGCGCTTTCCCCCGAGGGAGGGAGGGGTACTCAACATAGTTTTCTACGGGGACGTTCCGCCTCATGGTCCAACCCCTTACCCTTCTTATACTATTTTTGATAGAAAACGTATGCCTTTCACATACCTTGTTTAGAACTTTGCATCCCTTTTAACAGCTGTAAATGCACTGTCTTTTAATTATGAACAAATCACGAATCCAGTACGTTTTCCCGACTTTTTCAAAGCCATGAAACGCATCAGTTAGCCTTATTAGGCCTTTTACGGACCGAAATACCAGATTTTCCTACCCTTTCTTACACTCTAACTAGTGAAATCCCTACCCTTTCCCATACCTGAAGCCCGAAATATGGACCCCTTTCGGGCGGAGCCACTTCGCATAGGCCATTATACAGAGTACCCCTCCGACCTCTCCGGGCACTTTCCAAAGTCAGAACTGGCCGGCTTCTAGGTCAACCATTTTGAAAATAAAATATTACCAGTTTTGTCTCAACCGCTGCCGTGTATTCCACTGATTAAGAAATTAACTGATCTCGCTGCATAGTCCAGGTTAGGATTGAAATCTTCCTAATGACTAGACTGGTGTGGCCAGTCAGTTCTGACAAATGGTAAGCTCCATTAAGATTGGGTAAGACCCCGTGATTTGACGACCGAACTGACAGGAAAATCTGGTCGTAAGTGATTTCCAGATAAGAAATACTTTATGCAACGTGTAGGTCAGAATGTTAATATGAATGGATGTAGTCGTACTATTACCGAGGCTGCCGTAAAAATGTGGTGCTCGTTACCCCTTTAAACCACTTATTTCAAAATTTAAAGTATTCATTGTCGCCCCTAAACATTTCTGTCTTACGTGGAGGGGACCTGGGCTGGACCTTGTACCGCAAACTCTGAAGTCTGGACTCTTGACACGGAACTCCGAAATTAATAACAATTTCTTGAGGTATTGTCGTTTTTTACACAGTCTAGTCTAGCGCAGTTTCCTGTGAAACTCAGAAATCAGTCAGTCAACACCAGAAATAATTATTATGAAATACATTGCGCTGCGAGGCCAAAAGCCAATAAGACGCGAGAAAACTAAACCGCGCACACAACTGAGAACGCAACGGTAAAATAGTTTGCACTTGCCACGAGTTTTCTTGTGATTGGTTACTGCACAGTTTACGTGCCTGAAATATTTTAGATATTCGTGGTTTTCTGAGTTTGATATCAGGGACTTATAAGAACGCGGTGGCAGCGAAAACGTCGCTTAAAAAGTGAATTTGCGTTCCTGCAGTCTTTATCGCGATTATTCCTACACACTTACTTCGTCACAGAAATAAAATTCCATCGTCGCTTGTTTACGTCCTCTTTACAACGTGAAAGTAGGCAATTTCACGATGTAGTCGTGCAAAAACGGCTAAGAAATGTGTAAAAAATGTGTTGCACGTGCAAAGTTGTTATTTTGCTCACTAAACCTATTGTTTTTTTGACGTTCTCGTTGCCGACGCGTCGTCGGATCTTTAACTCCCCAGAAAGGACGTACAAGAAAGTGATATATTCATCTTATTGTAAGAGCATTGTGCACAAGAAAACGTTTAGTCTACTTCGAAAAAATCGATTAATATCCCACCAGCCCCATACTCCAAAAAAGTTGTTTCGTTGTGTTTTCGAACTCGTGCGCCATACAATGTATGACGTTGCCATGCCAACATGATGTTTCGTATGAAACCTGGCACTTTGGCTGAAACTACTATTTAATTTTTATTATATAGAGAAAAACTTTAATAGAGAATTTAACAGCAATTTATCGTACATTATGTTTTAAATAATGTTACTATAAAATACTAAATTATCTTGATTTACTCGTAACTGTAGTATTACCTAAATTCTATTTTGTGCATTTATCAGGGTTTGGAAATGTGCCTGATGTAACAGTGTTCAAACCAAATAAATTTGAGATCAATGTTATATAATATTTATGCACTGTTTCCAGTGGGGACCGAGAGAGGATAAAGACTGGACTGGTTTTATTTTCTTTTGGTGGGGACTTGTAAGTAAAGAATTTTTTTCGGGGGCAGTGGTGTTTGCTCAAATTTCCGGGCAAATCATCTCTATAACAGTAAAGACAGTCAGCGATATGATCCATTTTGACGTCAAGAGATAGCAAAAGAGTATCACAATTACATAAGCTGCACGACAAAACATCAACAAGAAATACACGACTGTGTGAAAACAAAACAAAAAGCGACCAATGCGCATGTTTCGTACTAGTTTTTATTCTGTTCTGAGAGTATTCCCGCCACAAAATTTAATGTCCTCATCAAGTGCGCCGACGCCCCCGTACAGTCTTCCTTACGGGACACTACTGCAGTTCACAGACGTAATGAGAAGTTTTGCATCTGGCCGGGTGTCAACTACTTCCAACGTCTTTGCTAAACGTTCACTTGCTCACTCGTGTTGAGGCTTGCTTCGCACGGCACGTACATTGGATATAGCGTGAGAAGGCCAAGCCACCGCGGATGTAGCGTGTTTACCGCCGGAATACATCCTTTTGCAACAAAATGTTCCACGGAAACATTAGAAGGCGTAAAAACATTTATCAAGATCAAGATTACCGGAAAGTGGCTTAAGAGTGATGAAAATGTATTAAATCGTCCAGATGTTTACACGCGAAGAGCAGCCATTTGTAAAAAGTGTTTTTAATACATTGGTCCAGTATGATGTAAAAATGACACATTACATCTAGCTTATATCACGGAAAATTACCGTTCCAAGAAAACGTCTTGATAGCTGAGATTATTTATCGAAATGCAAATGACAGTACCGGTCTCCTGACAGTACTTAAATGCATCCATTTCCTCCTCGAAATCCGTTGCCAAAATGCGTGCAGTGCGTGCCTAAAGTGCTGGAAACATATATTTTTATGTTTCCTGACCGACCTGACCGCTAGAAATAAATCTTTGGGGTATTTCGAATTACTTCAGATGACGTAACATTGGACTTTGAGTAGTACAAGAGTTATACGTCTTATACCTGGTCAGATTTCTGCATTACAACACGTTTTGCCCCAATTCCACGACCTTGGTGACACGTAACACACACTACTACTTAAGAGACAATTTCCTGACTTATAAGAATTTGGTGGTGGTATTCACGTACTTCTAAAGAAAGTGAAATCTCTGAGACAGCTAGGTCGAACCGTTAGTTAACACCTCTCCCCTCACCACCACCCCTCCTTTTTTTCCTGAGTCCCCCTTACAAAGCCTCTCCCTCTACCCCACCCCTGTTTTTCCTGATACTCATGATCATATCGGGTTAGATTTTGCTAAGGATCGAACTTGGGAGAGTGACGGATTTACCACAGAGAGTGCAAACATTAAAGCCTGGAAGGAACTTTCAAAGTCAAATTATTTGCTTTAAACTACTTTCGGAGAGTTTCAATATATCTTCAAAGAAATGAACATAGCACGAAAATAGCCTATCTGGATAAAGAGCTAGAGGTGTCCATTCACTTCTCTCTCCCGCCGCTTTTCTCTTCTTTTTAGTCTCTGTGTTTCTGAGACTCCAAAAGTTGTTTCTTTTTTAACCCTTTCACTGCCAGAGTGTTTGATAGAGTTTTGTAAGGTGGTTCTAACTTTTGAGTCTGCGGACATAATCCTATGATGTGACCATTCAAATGAAAGCTCTCTGCCTGTACTTTGTGTATCATGTGTACTGTACACATGATGCTATTTGTTTGTCAGAATTTTAGAAGATGAAATTTGGAAATTTGGTCGAAATTTGTCTTTGGCCAAATTTGGCAGTGAAAGGGTTAAAGATTATAACGTTAGACTGACACCACTTTCAATTTTTACCACTATTTTAAGTCACATCCTTTAATTTAATCAAATGGCCAAAATGACCACAAGGTATGAGCCGTATAGACTGCATGTTGCCTAATCTGCAAGGAAAGTATACTAGTACTGCACAACTGATTTACACCAAATTAAAACCATGTTCTGGAGTAGATTAAGCCTCTAAATCGCACGGATTGTTCAGAAACAAAAAGATACCGCTATCTCAACGCTAATGATTGCAGGCACCTAATTATAGTTGATTCGGCGCAATTTCCTCTAGATTACTTTAATTTTAGTTTATCGCAAATTTTACACGAGCTGTTCGAATTTAAGCGCGGCAGTATAAATTGCAAGCTTAAGTTAACTTCCTTTAAATTAACACTTTAAACGGCCAATTTTATACTGCGCCTCTACGGCGTCCATTCCGGCTGTCGGTGAGGTCCAGTGGCAGTTTGCGGGTTGCAATTATACTTCCTTTTATAATTACAAGTACAAGAGCATTTGTTTGAAACACTTGTTATAATAGCTTTTGTTAAATGACACAGATAGACGATTAGCACGCGACGAAACAACACTAAACGCGTTATGATCACTGAGTCAGCAACAGACACATATATATCAATAAGTTCTTTTTCAGTTGTGTTTATGAAAGCAAGAGCTCGTTGTGGCTACATCTGTCCAATATACCTGCAAGAGCAACCTGAGTTAAAGTTAGTTAACAGTAATAAAGCTAGTCACTAGCACAGGTGGCAGATAAAGTTTTTTAAAAAAACTTCTTTCGGTTCTGGAAAATTTGTTAATTTGGGCTCGCGGACATTGACTTAAGCAACAACCGTCCACTACCAACGCAAACAAACTTGAAGGGACTCTGGAGTGTGCTTTAATTTAAGTTGAGAGCTTTGTTTTGGACACGGAACTAATTTAATGAAGTATACTTTAAAGGTCATGTAATCCACTTTGATCATTTTTATCACCGACCGCTCTATTTTCGCAACGACCGAATATAACATGTTTTACTTTATCTTGGAGAATCCTCTTAAACAATTCTTGTCAAGGGCTAATTTGAAGAACCCCTACACATCGAAGAGCTAAGGCAGACTGCTAAAATCTATCGCCTTAACGGGGATCATCATGATTACATTCGGATTTTCCGCAGTACAGTTAGTATACAATTGGCGAACAGGGTGTAGAGGATGTCTTCCTCATACCGTTCGGGGTTTGGTCATCAGGCAATCGCTATATTGGTGTTTCACTGCAGGCTTTTCTTTGATTTTGTTGATTTATTTTTTTTTTTTTTTCACTGAATTCCCCGCTTACTCCATAATTCTTAAACAACCCTCAAGAGAGATTCGCAGAAAAATAAAAGATAGGCCTTCTTCCATTACAAAATAGCAGGACCAATCATTGAGTGAGATGGAGAGTAAGTAGCTTTAGTTTCATCTTTTGCATTTTTGTAATGACCTTCCCAAGTTATCGCAAAGTGCATATCTAATCGTTATTTGTTCAGTTAAATTTAGCATCCACATTTTTTAGGAAAACAAATAAACAAAAGGCCATTACTGAAGTGGAAGAATGCAAGGGCTTCCGATAAAAACGGATAAAAAATTGAATGGCCTTGCAAGCTGTCACATTACAATTTACGAGGTACTCCTCTGGAATTAGCACGCGTAGTAAAGCTCGAGGCATTTTATCGATTAACCCTGTTGATATATTCAAGAGACACCTGAAAAACCAAATATTCCGATATCCTAATCCTTTTATCTTCAATTAGGATATCAGAGGTCAGTTGGCCCGTTCCGTTATAGGACTATGGAAGCTTCCCACTCTAATTGTCTCCTGATACAGCCATGTAATCTCTTTTGTTGGGCAGCAGACTCAGTACAGACTTTTTACAACAGCTTTTACAAATTGAGCTATAATACAAATGTATCTACAGAAAAAGACTGCAAAGTATTAAACGTTCATGTTTTGCTAGCAACTAAGATAATCGATTTCTAAATTAAGAACGCAATCCACCGGGTTTTCACCTGATGGAACGAGGGCTGGCTACTGCCCAAGTCTCCCGACCTCTTTAAAATTTGACTTCGTTCAAATGGTAGAGTTTTACTTTTAATTTATTATTCAAAAGTGAACCATTAAGACGGTTTTGATTTGAGATGAGGAAACGGCGTATTACACAGGTAAGCTCCGATGAAACCACGAGGCAGATTTTACTTACAGATAGCTTCATTAAGGAAAATATCACAATTATTCCCCTTGCTTCCTGGGCTTGGAGTTCCAAAATAACTCAGCGCAATGGCACAAATTACAAAATAAATATCAGATAATTCAAACCAGTAAAACTGCTGGTCTATAATTAACTTTAGATGACTTTATTGTTTTATAAGCCGGAAAATCCGCGTATTTCTCTCTTTAAAATGCGGGAAGTCATGTCAATTTGAATGTCGTATTCATTGGGACAAAGGACAAATAAAAAAGGCCTTTTGTCTGTTTCACAAACAAAAGGGAAACTCTACATTACTTTAGCCCAATGATGTCAAGTGGAGGTTTTAAATTCGCGTGTTTAATGGGCTTAACATCTTATTGATAATTAAGGCATCTATCAACCTGAAGCACCTCTTGAATGTGAAATTCTACTCTTGGCTTGTTATACAGATAACAGCTAATGATCTACGAAACTTAAGTGCCGCTAACTTACTCAGACAGTGTGGAATCGTTGATCGGAGACTCACTGTGGTTGTGGCTTTTTCGCATCGAGGACTCTTAAAAGACTGTTTCTCTAAACTTACCAAGTTCTCCTTAATTAGACATTCACGTTTCGCAGAGATCATTTTGGACGTTTGCGTGAACAGGATACGATCGAGCAATCTTTGTCTACAAGGAAAAACATCCTTCAGTTTTTAACAGGAAACTCATTCAGGTTTTAATCTCAAGTAAGTACTTGAATTGTTCTAAGCAGGTGAATTTACACTCTAGTTCGTTCATTCACTTCCCTTGGCCATCTAACAGAAATAACAGAAGCATTCTCCTAAACGGCTACTTTCATCGAAACGACTTCCGCGTAGTGTTAATCAGTAGCTGAGGCAGCACGTTGTCAGTTTCTTAACTTTCCAGTCTTTCGTGATTTCAGTATGTTCCATTAATTAAATTGTACCTTTACTAATAAGAAACCGGTGATTGAATTCGGCCTTTAAAAGCCTATGCTTTCGGTTTTATTCAATCTTATTTGCTGCCTTTTAAGCAAAATTTAAACTAACCAGGAGAAAAAAAAAAGCCAGAAAAATGATTTTTTTTGTCGGCGAAGCTTTTTCCAAGATGATTATTTATGGAAAGTTGTCGTTTTTGTTTCGTAGCACAAAGGCAGTTGATATAACAACAGTTAATATAAAACTTAACTACTCGCATTCTCCAACACTGCTGGACTGACTTATTAAGACCCTTTAATGTTTTTATTCTTGGTGTAAAATAATATTCGAAAAACATCTAGATAAACATTTGTTTGGTTGAACGCCAGTTCGTTTCTTTGTTATGACACGTTGTGGCATAATGCAGGTGAAGGCTATACTGACTCATACAGAATAACTCTCCAAAATGATACTTAATTACAGCCCTCTTAGCACGCATCAACGGCGGATCGAGTCAGCTTTATATTTCTTGTCACGTTTTATATAGGTTTCCGTTAAGCTTAAGCGTTATTTTCTAATCTGTTGCCTGATTGTAACTGTACAGCATACTTTTAAAGAAAATGTTAAGTATTTAATATTCTACGTAAGCTTCAGTAAGGGTAAGCATTATCTGCGGTTGGCACAGACCTCTCGCATTTTAAGGTGAAAAGCGCCTCCTAGATAGTTTTGTACAAAAAAAATAACAGCTTGCAATTTTTTTTTTAACTTTTTAGCATACAAAAAATCTCTCTTTTTCTGACCCTATGTAAGTTGGACGCTTCCTAAAACGCTAGAGTTGGTCGTTATACTACCTAGTTCTGCCATTATATTTGACTTTCTATGGCAGACAGCCCTAAAGAAGTTTTATGCTTGCCCCAACAATGACTGTCTGTATGTCTGTATCTGTCTCTCTGTCTGTAAGCTCTTGTTTTCTGTTATTTTTCTTTTTGTTTCATCTTTCTTTTCTCTATGACCTGCTGGCTCAGTTGTTTGTTTGCCGGCCCACACTTAGTGCATGGGTGTGTCCTTTAACTTTTTAAAACACACCTTTGTTGCTAGTTTGAAACTGTTCCCAAGGATCTCCTGATACCCTTGAACTTGTGATCCATTCGTGTGCGTGAGGGTTTTGTTTTGAATCTTCGCCAGTGAGGAAAGTATTAACGATATCTCATTGTAGCAAAGTTAATCTTATAAACTTTGGTCACGTGACTAGGGTAGAGGAGCATGTTTCCTAATGGCTGTTGGCATCATAGCTAAAAATTCAATCTTATCTAAGAGGCGAATTTACACACTCAGACAAGTTTGCCTACTAAATTTTTACCTTGATAGAAGTAGTAGTAAAACTAAAAAATAAAAGTGGCACCTCGTTTTCTTGCCAAGAAAAAAATGTCGTATTTTGCTGGCTATATTGCTAAGGAAATTGTCAAGGAAGAAGTTGTTACGGAAAATTTTGACGAGCGACGTGACTCTACTAATAGTATTGATGCATGGATATCAGATGATATTTGCTACTGATAAAATTTCGTTAAGCGATAGAATAAGGCAAAAAATTGTTAATAACAACAACGATAACAACAACAACAATACTGATAATAATACTCTTTCTATAAGATAACATTATAATTTCTTCACTTTCTGATTCAGTTACAAGAAATCGGGCGACTTCGACTGAATGCAGTTCTAACGAATATGGGTGCAATGGCCAGGACCACTTCAGCGAAGAACGATTCTCTTTTAAAAAATTATCCCAACAGCACAGCTGCAACTAACAACACAGTCGAAGGTAAGGCTCTCGGCAGTCAAATTTATAAATGAAAGGGGTTTTTTTGACTCAAGAAGTTTTTCTGTATTAGTCGAGTCTCAGACCTGCCATAGACATAAATGTCTATCGCATATGACGTCAACCCTAGAGTGATTCTTTGTTGCATGCAATTACAATATTTTCTATGAACAAAATATTACCGTGAGAATCGTCACGTGATCTACCATGGGGCAACAAACCATGCAAGCGAACAAGCCAGTCTTTTTGTTGATGTTTAAAATGATATTGGGATTTAGTTATTTTTTGTTTATTTATTTATCTATTTCACAAAAGGCCATTTTTCCACAAAACACTATTATCTAAGTTCGAATTATTAGTTCCCTTTTTATATCTTTCTATCAAAATTTTGAAGTAAAATTTGATTTTTGTCAGCTGTGCAAGACGAAGTGTATGCTAGAATGTTAACCAAAAAAATCTTCTTATTACAGATGTCTACTACGATGAATTCTATGAAGGTATTTTTGACCCTAAAGCGGATGTTGTTCCCATTGTCTTGGCTGTGTTAGTTGTGCTCATTAACAGTTTGGTTCTGATTCTAATGGCACGAAAAAAGTATCTGCGGTCAATCACCAATCTTCTGCTCTGTAGCCTGGCCGTTTCTGACCTGTTAACAGGCCTGGTTTCTGTGCCGCTGTTTCTCACGTGCAGCATCGTCCGCCAATCAGAAGTTTGCATCATCCAGGACCAGATGTCTCGTTTTATTGCTGCGTTGATTGTCTGTCATCTGATGTGTGTTACTACAGATAGGTAACTTTAATCATTAAGAGTAATCAGCAAATTCTCTTCATAGGAAATTTATGGGAAAGAGTATTGAGAATCTGTATGCTGATATTGCAATCAAACAGAATGATGGGATGGTGGCTTTATTTACAATTGATGGTTACTATTTTGGCGTTTATAGGGCTTATAATATATAATCGTCAAAAGTTTCGGTGTCTTTCAAACAGAAATCTGAACAAAAACGATAAAAGAAAAAAAAATACAAATCTCCTGACAAGTTGCTAATGGTACTCATTTACAGTAATTTTTAGGGAGTTATTATAACTCTAAGAATGGAGTAAAAATTTTAGGTACAGGATAACCCCTTTTATGGTGTTACTTTGACTCCTAATTAAACTCCAAATTTGGGGTCATTTTTACTCCACCTGAAAAAGAGTTCTTTTTACTCCCAGTCTGGAGTTAAAATAACTCCGAAAATGGGGTTATTTTACTCCTTACATCGGTTGTTTTTAATCTTTTTGGAGTTACTTTAACTCTGAAAGTAAATTTTAGGTACAGGATAACTCCTTTTTTGAGGTTATTTTAACTCCGCAATATCTGGGGTCATTTTTACTCCCGAAAAAGAGTCTTTAAACTCCTTTTTGGAGTTAAAATAATTCCGCCAAAAAAAACTCCACGGTAAGGAGTTAAATTAACCCCACATGAGGAGTTATTATAACTCCTTGAAAATTACTGTGTTCTAACGCGCCTATCTCGCTGACAACTGGAGACTTTCTTCTTTGCAGATATCTGGCAATCATTCACCCTCTCCATTACTCTTCACTCGTTACACGACCCAGATGCATTGTGGTTATTCTGGTCGTCTGGTCAGTGTCCGCGGTTACTGCATTGGTACAACTATCTTGGCTGGACCCATTCCACGATCCCCATGTAGAGCCAAGTGAGCATTTATTAAAGGCAGAACTCATATATGACGTCATCTTCATTATCTTGTTTTTCTTCATTCCTATGGTACTTATGCTATTCTCATACGCCAGGATTGTCATTGAAATAGCTCGTCAAAGTCGCAATATTCATCAGAGTTATCTACCATCTTTTACGCATTCAAGAAGCAGAAACCGCCATGAACGCAAAGCCGTTGCCATATTTGCTTCGATGATGCTTGCGTACGTGATATGTTGGTTACCATATATCGCTCTGCGGAGGTTTGATTACACAAAGGTTCCCATACCCTTGGCGTATGTAATCTACTGGTTAAGATTTCTAGCTTCACTTTTAAACCCTTGCATATATATCCTGGGCAAGCAAGACTTTCGAAAAGCTCTTTTTGAACATCAACTAAAACTTGAGTTAAACTTCACGAACAGTTCAAAGTCGGTGATTTTAAAGAACACTTTAGCGACACCGGCTGGCAAAAACGAGAAAATTCTCATGAAGTCCTTTTCGAGAATTGGTAGCAAAAAAACATGGAACTGTTGACAATCTCAAAAACTTCATCGCTAACATCTGAACGCCTGGAACAGACTACTCTAACTTTTAGAAGAAAGAAAACTGTGCGAAAAAGAGCTTTATTCAACCTTCATTCAAAAATTTCTAGTCATGCAATAAGGGGTGCCATCACGCAAGACTTCAAACTAAATGAATAAAATTAAGTTAATTATAATGATAGTAACAACAAAATCTACAAAAGATAAAATTTAATGAATGAAAATTTCATTAGCATTAATTATTCAAACAATATCAAAATTCCTAAAATGCCCAAATAAGACTTTTTTGAATCGATCAGCGGACTTAATGTTAACAATTTCGCTTGGTAGCGTATTCTAGTCCTTGACAGTTCTACCAAAATAACTGTTCTTATAAGTCTCAGTATTTGGTAGCAGTAGTTTAATAAACTTGTTTTGGCTAGAGTTCCTTAAATGTCTTCTGCTCTTCAGAACATAGTTTTGCAAAGCCAGGCCTCCAACACCATGAATTGCTTTACCGAATAAAGTTAACCGTGAGATCGTTCTTCGTGTTTTTTTGAGCTGACGTACTCCACGCAAGGCCTCACAAGGGCTTTGCAGGCTTCCCCCTTTTACTAGGGTCGGTCATTTAAACGAAGTTTAGGTTTAAGAAATCTTTGGACCTCCAAATCTTTTCTTTGGTGGGTCAATTTAAAGTAATATTAACGGCTTTTCTAGTCTACAATACATGCTTTAAACTCGAGAGCCATAACTGTTAAACCCCATTTAAATAATCGGCTCTAGCTAGAATTTAAGGGGTTCGTTCTATAGGAACTGTGGTGATCTGGTATGTGTCGGTTGGGGAGTGCAAAATAAAATTTTGGTTTTATTGACGGAGTTGATGAAGAAACTTGACCACAGTAAAGTATTTAAAAGCTGACGTTTTAGGCGCTACTGGTGTTAAAAGTCAACATTGGTTAGGGGTGGGGGAGGCACACAGATTATCTTCTTCTCCGAACTAAACTCAATTTGAGGACAGGCTCTTAACAATTCTATTGCAAAAAAATCCTAAAAATTATAAATTTCCAGTTTTTTTTCAACACGTTTGAAACAACAACAACAACCAAAGACCACGTGACGTTTACTCCGATCGCCAAAAATTTTATGCTATACTGTAGATTAATCTATATGTTATCCATGCTATATGTTAGACTTACGATCAAGGTGAAGGTGGGATACCAGAGAGCGGCTTCAAAGTAGGTTGATACCCTCACAAAATAACGGGGTCGAGTCACCTTAAGGAGTGAGGAAACCGGAGTGCCCAACTCCACATATGGTGCAGCCTGCAGTATTCAAACCCGAACCTCACTGGCGAACAAAGACGCTTGCTCTCACCAATAAACGTATTCTGAGTGCAAAAGGCTAAATTGATATTAAGAATGCTAAAAAAAATCCGACGGGAAAACCGTAAACAGTTCTTGATGTCAATGCTTTCTGTTATTATTGCAGCCTTTCTTTTCGAAACCTTTGTCTCTTGTCGCAGGCATGCCCTTGATTTAGACAAAAATTCTGAGTTTTGTTAAAAAAAAAAAATGAGAGATATATGTAACAGTTTCAGTATGTTGGCAATAAAACAAAACTGTCATTAAAAATATATCCTTGAAATATCAGTCGGATTTACATAACTGTCGCAGATGCAAATAAGGGCTATATTTATTTAACCTCCCAAACAGGATATCAACACGGCATGAAGAAAGATTCTCGATCAAAACTTTGCAGTTTGTTCATTTGCGCTAATCTATTCTACTCCTATTAAGCACCGTCCGTGGACGAAGGGTACAGAAGAAGTTGGCTTTTGTGCGCAGATGAAAAGGAGCAATCTTGCCATTGAGTGAGTACAGTTACTGAGAAAAAACATTAACTCACATGAGGTTGCTCTGTTAGGCTGAAAAAAAAAGGCTAGGCGAGCCTGCGTTTATCGACGGCTTAGTTATAAACTATGAGTAAAGTGGTGTTAGTCGATATTACACGTTTTTTGGAAACGGGAGAGTGTAAGGGTTCTTGTCAACCTTTTGTCAAGCATATAAGTAAAAAGAAAATGGATCGTTTTGTTAAAAAGGTCCGGCATTCAAGATGACTTAATTGTATCCTACGAGAGGTAAACTATCTTCCTGCAAACCGAGATCACCCGAACACTACTAACCTTATTATTGATCGCCCAAATAATATCGTGCCATACCAGCCAGTAAATAAGTCTTGGGTATTAGTTTCTGTATATAGCTGTATTTTCGCAACTTCGTTTATTTTATCATTGATCATTTGTTATAAACCAATATAATTCAGCTCTCTCATTAAATTCTGTTGTTTAAACGCCAACAACACGTTTACATCAAGTTGTCAAAAACATTAACTGGAGAAATAGATACAAGTTTAACTCTTTTTTTCAAATAAACATCATACATATTTTTTTTTGGTTAAAGGCTCGATTTCTTTGTTTAAATAAAAAAGGCAAACTTTTCTTGGTGTTTTATCATGCAAATCATGCTGAATCTTGATCTTATCTTTAGTATTTGCTAAGCATTATTTTCATGTAAAAAGCAAAGTTCGTGTCTACACAGAAGACGAATCCAGCCTCACAATCATTCAAAGACCAGACTACTAAGTTGCCTTAACCAGTTGGCCTCTTTCTTCGGGGTAAATAGCTCGATTTGGTTACCTAGTATCCTCGTAGGAGACCCAGGGGCAGTCAGTTAGGGTGGGAGAAAAGGCGCGACGAAAGTTTTGATAAGGTTTATTGAGCCGCTCTTGACCGCCCGTGTTTAAAAACTTTCGTCGCACCTTTTCCACCGACCCAAACGCGCCTGGGTCTCGGGGATGGTTTCCTAGCCGTTCATCTCTAATTCACCACCGACGAACATGACCGAGGCTGATGGCTGATGTGCAAGGTCTGCGATGACGCCGTAATATGTTAACAAGGATTGGAAGTAAAAGAAATGTCCGGATCAGTTGAAATGAACTAAAGAAGAGCGAATTGAGTAGAATATATTCTACAGTAGAATGGCACAATGTTCGGTGCTAAGTTTTTCAAGTTTAAATCCGCTCTATTGTAATGCTGCACTTTTATGCTTCAAGGTACAACACTTGATAAAACACTTTTGCTAGTTTTCAGACATACAATCCAGTAAACCAAAGATTTATTTGCCTTCTTATGACTCCTCGGTTATTTTAGTTTCGCCGTGTGAATTTCGTTACTATTCAGATCATTATGTTTTGGCTCGTCGCGGCCGTACATAATACGTGCCTGTCAAGTAGGTTGAATGGTCCATGTTCACCAACGTCATTATGATTCAACCGTGGTTCAAGAAATTATCGCCCTAATCAAGAAGCTGTAGGGTTTTGGTAATTGTAGTCAAATATTTCATGTTGCAATGACTCTTCCTTTAAAGCGAACGAAAAGAACTTTAAAAACGAAGATATTTACAACCTTTCATAAAAAGTATAGACAAACCCTTATTTTAAATACTTTTCATCAGCTGTTGTTTTGAGTTTGCTACAGAGCAAGTAATTAAAGACATGTGTGATTTTTCCCGGTCCAATATAATAAGTCTAACGATCTTATTTTCTGCCGTCTTTAAACTTAATTTCTCTCAAGCCTCGCTGTGAAGTTCCTTTTTATATGCAGAGTTCATGAAAGCAATATATCGCTACAACATTGGATTATATTTGATTCCTCTTGAGTATAATTATTCGGTTTCTCTTTCCCCTGTTGAAAGCGATTTGGTTGTTTTTGCGCCGCCTTGTTTTGATTTATTCTTTACCTGCTTATTCATGAGTGTAAACGGTGCCTTACTAACAAAGGCATCTTTTTTATTTTTTACCGATAATGTCAAATTAATATACATATACCTGAACTTCGTTTGTGATAAAAACTTGAAAGTTGCACATGTATCAAAAATTAAGAATTTGCTCGTTTTGATAAGTATGTTATCGCGTTCGTTGGAAGTGATTTATAAGGTTTTCTACATATTTAAATACCTACTTAACAACTGTAGTCAATTTAGACTAAAATAAAACTCATTTACGCGCAGTCTGCTTTGCTTTCTACCTTCAATTAGAAGCTGTTTTCAGTGTCTTAATCGTGCTCTATTGTTTGACAATTTACGACATATTAACTGGGTGATTACATCTCCACTGAGCAGACGTTATTTCCTGACATGGATGTCAAAAGCCTGAAATTATATATGTTAATTTAAACAGCGGAAACTGAACGGCTTGATGTCTACAGACCCAAATCGACCGAATTTTCTGCTCATCACAATGAGCAGACATGTTTCTGGCACATCTAAGAGGTAAGCCGTTCAATGTCTCATGCTTTGGCCCTAGGTTTAATTCTAGTACGTTGGATTGATATATATAGCCTATAATAGGATATATTTTTTGAAATATAACAAGCGTTTAGGCAAACAAGCTCTGCTCAACTGAAATTAAAAATAGCGTGAAGAACTCCTTCATCGACATCTTCCAGTTCAAGACAAATTTTTCCCTGTTAGTAACTATATGAAACTTTAATCTAAGTTTACGAACTTCGCACTTCCGTGAGGTGGGGTAAGAGATACCACTTCCACAAAACGTTTCGCCAGTCATTTTTGAAGAAAATAACGTTGAGATCATAGAATAAGGAATGTCTAGTTTATCAGTCGTTTCAGAAAGAAAAAGTGGTCAATTAACGAGGTGGTCGTAGACGTTGTACAAAGGGGCATCGTGTGAGACTAGTGAATCCAAGCTTTGCAAAAACAAACTTTGCAAACGTAACGAAGAGTTGAACTAAATTATTTTTCCTCAAACACTTTGGGCTTCTTTAACACTTTCTTCCACAATTTAACCCGATACTACCCGCCGTGGTTACAACTGAACGCAGTCGTTCCCTCCCAAAATGCAAAATTGTGCGAATCGAACCTTCTTAATATTGGCCTCGTCCACACGTATCCGGATAATTTCAAAAACGGAGTTTTTTTTATGCGTCCACCCGTCGTG